TATATCGATATAGAATAATTTCCGGTAAGAAAGAAAGAGAGAAAGAAAGAAGATTTATGTTCGAAGCAGCTTTATCATTTGTGACAGACGACATTAGAAAAATGATGTTCATCTTTTCGCTTTAAAATCCTACTTATTTTATAAAATCCTAATAATATTCGTATATTCTCTTCTTTCTCTTTATTTCATTAATATTTGCTCCAGAATGATAAATCAATCCTTTTTTTTCCCATTTCTTCTTATCGTTTCTCTCTCACTCTCTCCGATTTTCGCAGAAACGAGAACTGCGTATCGAAGTTGCTCGAAATTGAGACTAAGAAAATACGCGAGGGGTCTCGGTCGCGGGTTGAATTTATTTTTTGCTCAATCCTTTTTACGAATCCGAGACGGGTAACAATAAAGCTGAATTGCTCCATGACGGCCGTGAAATTACAACCGCAGATTTATCTCTGTCATGCTGTATGACGAAATGGGATTTCGTCGTCTCTAATGAACTCCTCCTCCCTACTCATTGCATCTGTCTTGTTGACGGAAAATATCGTTACTGATATACTATCTTGTCAGATAAAAAAATAATCAAGTTATTTTATCGTTGTCAGTTTTTCGAGATGTTGATTTATCGTCAATCGTGTATTAAATAATGTGTTGAGAACTGTTAAAAAAGTGTAAATTTAATTATTAAGTCTTTAATAAAAAATGAGTCTCTTTTTTTAACATGCATAATTCAATGTTTGTATTCCTTATATTTATATTTAATTATTAAATTTAATTAAATTCAATTATATGCAGGATACAAATGCCATAATTTGTACTGCAGTAATTTAATATAAAATTCTATAAAAGATTAATTAATATCAAACATGAAGAACGTGTCAAAATGGAAGCTTGAGCGTACATGTTATCGAGTTTCATCGATAGTAATCAATAGTAATCAATCAATATTATTCATCAATATTAGCGAATTTAAATGTCACATGACATGAAAGATCTTCGAGATACTTTCGTCCCCTATTCCAAAATATTTAACGCTTCCATAAAGTCCACACCAAACATTCTACTCTTCGTATTTCAAATTAATTATTGATAAACGATCAAATATAAGACACTTTCTTGTTACTTCATTCGACGAGTCATATATTATTTAATATTGTCGGTCCGAAAATGATGAATAAATTACTTTCGTCGATTTAAAATTTATAATATTAAATTATTTAAATCAGCAAAAAACTCAAAGCGCGAAATTACGTTTTAGTTTAAACATCGCTTGAAGAAATAATTATAATCTTTAAATGTCACGACAAATGGTTTTATCTAAATTTAAAATTTCTATTCTTTTGTCTTTTCGACTCCTACGTAAGAAATAAAATATTTACTTTAAAAAATAGCCGTCGCTTCGACACGTTTATGAATCGAATTGATTATAAAATTAATCGCTCACGTGGATTGATAAATGTTATCCGCAGAATAATTATTTACACAAAATAATCGCGTTTCGTAAAGAGATAATAATGGGTGGTTTGCTGCACGGATAACGATTCAATAATTTCGCGTACGCAATGGTGTATTGTGTAAGTTGTCATTTACATTTACATTTTCATTTACATTTTCATTTGGAGAGAGGAAAAAAAAAGAGAGAATTACACAATCTGCACGTGACAGTTAAAATTCGCTATTGATGATTAACTTGTCAAAATCAGCTGATCGTTATATATGATATCTGCATATAACAAGCAAAATCAGCTGAGCAGGAAAATTCAATATTACTGAACTGAGAAAATCAATAATAGATGATAGGTCGGTACGCGTATAAGCGCAATTACTTGTGCGTATTACACGCGATACCATTGACCAGCTTTGACCTATTTACAACTGAGAAACCAATGTAATTTTGATATTTACGATATCAGGATTTTCGATTATAATCAATTTCTAAAATATAACTAGTCACTATTATCAATCGTAATTAATTTTTGCTACAATATATTATCTTGATGTTGATTTGCTTTTTCGTTGCGATATAATTTCAAGTTGAGTTTGCGTCAAGTTCAACATTACCCGAGAAACTTGCTCATCGTCCCATTGCATTCGGTGTAAATTCGTCTTTATCTTATACATACCGACACGAGACAAGATCACAATTAGAGAGTTACACGAAAGGGTGGCTTGTCTCGAAGGGACGGCACTCCGACCTCCGTAACATCTAACGCGTTCGCTCGTACATGTTCCTTCGTTGAAGTGACTCTTTTTTCCACCCCCTGCTGCATGTACGGCGAGATATATTACTCGCACGTAGGGTCGTTTCCGGTAAGTAAGCTTCGCCCCGTTTCGCGGTCGCGAAATTTAGCACCTCGTAGAAAAAGCACTGACTCGGCTTAAACGACCCTCTCCTTTTTCCGTTCGCGCGTGAAATCGTCGATTTATTTCCAACTTACTCCCTTTTTATACGTTTTGTCGATTAGTATCTGTTATTTATTGATAAAATAAAGTTTAAGTGCCAATTAGTTCGACTTTCTTCAGAGAAAATCCATAGTACGAAAATCCATAGTACGAAAAAATATATATTTTACACTTTTATTACTCGATTATCTTTCAAGTGTAAACGAAGTTAATTCGAAGAGAAGAAAAAATAAAAAAGGATCGCGTAGATTTTACAAAGTTTATTTTACAAAAAACGAATATATTCTTCTATTAAAATTATCAAAGTAATTATTAGAAATACGTTTAAATTGAATTATCATATATTTAAATTAAGTTTATTACATATTTAAATTATGAAAAAAACTAAAATTAATTTCGTTCACATTATATTCGAGATTTAATTGGAATTTTTTCTACGTTGATAGAGTAAAAAGAATATAAAAATATTCTGTTACAGTATTTTATTCTTCGCAAAATCAGTAAATATGAAGCCAAAAATATTAACTTGAATTATATATTACGATGGATAACATGAAAAGATTCTCGTGTTTTGTTACATTTTTAGAACGAAATACACATAGAAAGATCTCAAAAGATCAAAAGCCACTATTTGCAACGGCATAATCACAATGAATAACATTTGACCTAAAAAGAATCTCGTTTCCACACGGATTTTTTTCGGTGTGAAAATACATTTTGTCTCTTTGCTGTATCTCGTCTTATTTCTAATTACGATGATGATAAAACACATTGTCGCAGATGCGGCGAGTTTTTCCTTTATCTAAAAATGAAGAAATGTGTGCTTTTGTTTCATTGTTGTTAAATATAAGAGAAATTCTTTTCATTCGCTTCTTTCAAAGTGCGCATAATATATATACATTTTTCATCTCCGTCGGAAGAATGCAACAAAATTTACTCTTGCCGGTGAATAATATCTACGACGTTTTTACGACTGACGACTCGCACGACTGATATTCCGCACCATTTCTTTTTACTCATGATTACGTGGCGACTAATTAATTACTTTACAATGTACGTAATAAAATTCGCAGAGAATATCTACTAAGCGTGTTTCTAAAGAGAAACTATCGTATTATTTTAGAAAAAGTTGTAAGTTACTAAAAGTCACAATTATAATTTCATTACATTTCTGAATAATTTACATTTAAAAAAAATCATCTAAAAGCTAATTCTAATTGAAAATGAATTTTTTTAATTACATGTAATATTATATAAACTTCCTACGTACATTATATTTTCATTGTCATTTAAACAAAAGAGACAAAAGTTGAGTCATTATATTATTAAAAACGATAATGGAGTCGCGGTGATCACTCTCAGTCAAACTCTCAGAAGTAATTAACAAAGTTAATTGATATATATTTTTCATTGTTTTCAATTGAAAATAATTACAAAATTTAATTTATCTCGATAATATGAACAATTAATAAACAATTAATAAAGATAGGATAATCAATAATGCCGTTTTAATCTCATCGGAGTTATTAAACGCAGGATATAGTCAATTTAACAATCGCGGGATAATTTGACAAATTAATGGTGTCATATACGATATCGAAACTTTTGGAAAATAAGTAAGAAATATTATTGATACTGGAATCCTGTCGCCAGTGGCGAAAAGCCCGATGTCATCGAGACGCAATTAAAACTTGGAAATAGGAATGCCGCTAATTTCCGCTTTGAGCTTCTAAACGACGCAATCCGAACGTTTTCCTGCGACGACTTTTCTCTTCCTGTCCGCGGAGAGATATAATCGCCTGAGAGAATCTGGCGGAATGCCTTCTCGCCGTTTGTTGGTAACCGGCATCGTAACTCGCCTGCTCGTCAGGAGAATTCGAGTGGCAATGTTAGGCATTCTCGTGTACGAGGACGCCTGACCATCGCTGACATCGCTTCTCGGATGTTTCCAGGTGAAACGAGAGAAAGAACAAACGAAAGAGCGTAAAAAGGAAGACTCTGGAATCTGTCGCGTCTCATGACAAGCTCGCAGATCCCGGAGCTTAATTAAAGGAGATTCAAGTGCGGAACATTAGTGCGGGGCAAGTCTCGACGAAAGCTTTCCTCGGGCTCTCTTGTCAATGTGTACCGAGCACAGACAAAACGGAATTTCTCTCTCTCTCTATCTCTATCTCTCTGAAAGCGGAAGAACCAAAAAAGCAGCCACCGGAATTCACACCTTGATGGATCCGAGCCGATTTTCGCATTATGTTTGTACAAAAGGATCCGAAGGGGCAATGCAAATATTGCACTAACAGATCCTAGAGAATGTTAAATTAAAAATATATTAATAATATATCGACACGACTTCGATCCCTTTTCTCCACTTATATATTTGAATAATTGTTTTAAATCAATCGGTTCTGTTAATTTTTAAACAACTTTTTAACAATTATAATAATATTATTCGTAAGGTATCAAACCGTATTGTATTTCATGAAGTCATATTCATTTTCTATAAAGGAATTGTGATATTTATAATCTTTCATATATAAATCTAGAATTCTTTTGAAAAGATATTTTATAATTATCCGATAATAAATAGCGATAAAAAAGAAAAATACCTGTACTCCTCCAGCTCCTACGATGAACAATAACTGAACCATGAAAAGTGCTGCCAAAAGATTCATCAGGGTCGTGCCTGCCAAGCTTCTTAAATCGGAGAAGAGGCTAAAACACAAATAAAACAGTCAATTAGTAAAAAAAATTCTCTGCGTTACAGTTTTCTTGACATGAAATTTTATTCAGACTATGACAAAAATAATTTAAATATAATTTTTTCCCAAGCATGATTTATCTTTAATTAAAAATAACTAAACATTTTCAAAAAAGTGTAAAAAATAACCGAAAAGAAAATTATTTGGCTCACAAAATATTAAATTCTTTTGAGGTCCAATAATAAAAGATCATAAATAGCTTGAAATCCTCCAAGGATTACTCATGAATTATTCTTATTGGGATGATAACGTAATATAAAGAGTTGAGAGATTGGGGAAATAAACGTAATAATACATTATGTCTGCGCGATAGCACTTCACGTTTGTGAGGAAAGATAGATAGATCGCGAGAGTCCAACTTATTTATTATTTATCTATTTGGGAGCAATTATACAAAATTATACAAAAATTATAATCATATCTTTATTAATTAATATAGAGGTTAAAAATATCGCGCATTTATTTATTGCAATCAGAGCGCAAGCGAGACGCGACGAGAGTCGGTGGTGCTCCTAAATTATGGATTTGTCCCGCTTTTCGGTTGCCTACAATTAAGTGTAGTCGCGAACCGTTCGTGCAGTCGTCGTCGTCGTGAATAATTCGTCCGTCCCGTGAATAATTCATAAATCGCTGCCGAACGGCTTCTAGTGAGAGAGAAATCCGTCGCTGACGGAAACAAAGGAACGATCGCGACAGAGGGACAAGTTACAAACGAGAGCTATCTCCCTCTTCTTCTATCTCAAAGAAGATGCGAGGTATTCCGGTCAAAGAACGGCTACCGCCGGAAAAATGCGATTAATAATAAGACGATGGGCAAGACTAAGAATAACGAGGTTAGCCGGCAGCGAAGATCGAGTTCGAGGTATCACACTTGAAAGATTACCGGTAAAAATTGTCGGTAAAAATGCAGCCATTAAACGATATATCTAAAGTGTGGCAATTTATTTAATATCTTGGTAAAACACTATAAAAAGAGAATAGAAAGAAAAAGAAATGCTTCAAGAAATAGTTGGAGAGAAATAGTTGTAGTTGTAGTTTTACGGGATACTTTCAGGAAGTATTGTAATTGTTTCGCGATGTTAAAACTACTAATTTATTCTAAATACTTAACTTTGTAAAATTGTCAGTTTCGTAGGAAAATTTTAAGACTTTATTGTATTTGCGGTATATAAATATAATGCGGTTTTACAAAAACTGTACAAAAAAATATGAAAGAATATATAACAAGAAAATTTTTTTATTATATATAAAAATTATACAAATATATATGCATACTTTCGTAATAAAATAAAATGTTTTTGCCTATTCTCTTTTGAAACGGAATGTGTATCTCATAAATACATCGCGTAAATTCACATTAGCATGACGAGAAAGAGCACAGACTTTGCGAAATTTGTTTGATTTATTCATTTGCGTGGTATCGATATTCAGTTTATGCTGAGGGAATATCGGCATCTCTTTTTCTAGGTCGACGGCTACAAGCGAGAGGCATAAATCCATGTTATACGTACATCGTACACATGTACCTAATATATCATCATCAATATGAGAACAAACCGTGTGTCCTTTTGCGCGATTTGTCTTTTCTTTATTAAAATTATTTAATTAAATTAAATAATTTTAATAAAGAAAATTAAATTCCGAAACGATTCAAGAACTGATGAATTCATCGCCTTTGCGAATCCGCGTTGCGGATCTCAATCTCGTATACTCAATCGTATTTCCGTATCTGATATCCGTTTGATACTTTTTATGATTGATTTGTATGTACAAATCAATCATGAAAAATATAAGAATAGAGTGTATAAGTATAAAAATCAATAAAGAAATAATATAATAGCAATTATTAAATATCTGTGCTTACTATATTAAAAATTAATCAAAAAATAACGTATTAAATAAAAATGGATAAAATCTACATTTTCGATATCCTCATTCCAAAATATAAGACAAATAGAAGACAAAAGCTTTAAATGATTTTATACGATTAATTACTAATTAATGTATGTATTATTCTAACATTACTATATATATAAAATATATAATTATATAACATTATTATAATTATATATCATTAGCTTTAATGAAATGTGAATGTAAACGAGCTTTCCAATCGTGCTTTATACTATTAATATATTACAAATTACCGATTTAAAGCGGCCTTGACTGAAACGGCAATGAAAAGCTTAATGATTCGCTTCCTCGACTTTTGCATCCGTCAGTGCTTTTTTGCTTTCGCTTAGCATTGAAAGTTTTATCATTTTATGAATTATTCACAAGGATGGACGCGGAACGAGAGATTCGCGCGTAGAATTTCCACAGGGACAGTCGAAACTCACTTCCGCAAATCTCTGGAGATTTTCCTTAGAATCGCCCTTTATTTCTTGTCCTTTAACGAGAATCATCTCACGCAAAATTCGATTATCTAGCTTCGTAATTATTTTACCAGCTTTCTCATCTGACTCATTCATCTTATAAATATAATTTAATTCCAAGTTTCAGAAGAAATTATATCTCAAAGTCATCGAAATATTATTTGTATCATCAACACGTATTCGCGCGTGTGTCACAAAATTAATTTGCGATATTAATTTTAATTGATTTTGCTTATGAAATAATATGTATATGTAGAATTGATTAATTATTGATTTCTTTTTATATATGAATAATTTATAATATAAAAATGCGCATCTGTCTGTTTCGATATGAATATTCTATGTATGTGTTTATATTTCTTATATAAAAAAATATTATTAGCATTTAACAAGTATCGTTAATCTCAAGTAACATGTGACGCGAATATTCATAATGGTATATAACGGAAAATAACTCGGTGTATTCACCGAGAAATAGCTTGAAAGTTGCGCAATAAACGTCCGAGGGCTTTCAGTGGGCTGATGCTGATATCTCGAAGGACGACAGCGCCATTAAGGGCATCGTCGCTGATAAGCAGCGACGTTGCGTCGCGATTTATCAAGGCTCCGACAGTTACGATCGGACGAACTTACGAAGACTTCGTTTCTTTCGTCAAACCGTAATGACGTACAAAAAACCTTAATCGTTTCTAAACCTTAATCGTTTTAATCTTCAATCATATATCGCGATATATTTAATTATCTACAATTATATTTTGCAGATATATAAATGTCCTGATGGATAGAATTAAATTTCAAACTTTACTCTAGAGTCAAATTTCAAAGTTCGAGCAAAATCCATTTTCGCTTAATTGATGTTTACCAACACTCGCGTGGCTGTAATTTGTAACCTAATTTTCGTTTTCGTTTTTATTTATCTTATTATTATTTCGTAATCTAATTTATATTCAGAATTCAGGCATTTCAGGCAAAAGCACCGAGTCTTCGAGTGGGAGACTACACTAGCTTCGAGGAACTGTAAGCCGGACTTACAAGTTACCCAACACAACTTCACGCCCAAAATTCTTCTCTCGATCTTGTTCGCTTTTCCCTCGAGAAGAGAATACGACCGCCTTTACACTCACGGATCGACTTGTGCGAAACTTTCCTCCCTTGTCTACTTGTTCTTCTTGTAACTAATTTTACGTACTTAGTTGCCTGGAACATGATATACAAAGGGTCATCTAGATCTAAATCAAAGTTGTAGCTTGATAAAAATATGATATTGTTATTGTTCGCGGCGGTCACTGACGCTCTCACTTAACGCGCACTCACTCGCGTTCCGGGGTAGGAAGCCGCGCTCGACAATAAACAACGCCGTTTAATAAAATACGTAGGCTTTATTCAAATTAATCCACAACAACAATTTGGCGGACACACGTCTGTGTGTCCGCCACGAGTCATCGCGCCGTACTTTTTCGTACACAAAACAACCGTTGCCCCGGAGAGCGCTTCGCTTCTACTCCAAACGGCGGCGACTCGACTCCACTCGGCCGCAGAAGACTCCACTCGCGCGGGCATAACAATATAATTACATATTTATGCAAAATAATTGTTTTTGTTTGCAATCTTCTCCTCTTTCTCTTTTTCTCGTTGTTTATTTTTAAGACCAAGTATTCGAAATATTCGCGAAATCCAAAAATACGTGGATATTTTCCGCGAACTTTCATCTCGACAACTCTATCGAAAAGCGGTGAAAGCTAACGAGACAGCTATCCAAGTATTATTGGATATCGATGATAGAAGCCACTGTAATCACATATTCAAGACAGTTCGATCGGATTTTCGATAAAGGATACCACCACCACCAGGTGGAATTCAGAGGATCGTCAGTTTGAATTACTTCGTCTTCGTGAGGTCGCGTTTAAACTGAAATGCCAGGTTGTCGATAGAACGTTGTCTACGCGTCAAACTTGAAAATAGACAATAAAAGAATTTGGGAAGAAGCAACGATATAGAAGATCAATATAGAAATCATCGAAATTTTGATAGCAAAATTCAGAGAGAAACATTCCCTTATATTACGCCTTCTTGGAAATGAGAAATCTATTACCTTTATTATTATATTATGTATCTACACATTATAAGAAACAAACTATAATATTATAATATGTAATAATTATATATTCGTATATTCGTATATTACATATTATATAAAACTTTTAAACTTTTACAATTTGATAGCGCATACATCATTTTAATATTTCTGTTATGTTTCTCTCTTTAGTCATTTTAGCTCTTCGTCAAATATTTGCATTACTTCTTGTCGTCTTGTCGTATCACAACCTTGTGTAAGTAAGCGGTAAGTGGTATATGATGTTGTTTTGACATCGCAGCCGCCATTAATGATGAACATCGGGGGCTGTAACTTGTAACGTTTTTACTGTCAACGAAGATCGTAAAGAGGCAACTCATGGGTAAAACTCGCGACAACAATAGCGCTCAACTCGAAAAGACATTTCCGAGGACCAGCGGAAAGAAACGATCGAGCGAGGGTATCCTTTAAGACGACGAGATCTTCTCTTCAGCTCAATGTTCC